AGGATGTAAAACAAGGATCTTCTGCAGAGAGCAGCAAATGCTGCAGGTTTGCCCAATCTGGGTAACCCGCCAAACCTGTCGTTACATGAGAGTCGGTTAGAGGAGGGGGGGGGGGGGTTCCGTCGTCGCAATGACAGCTTTCCAACGTCGCCAGATCCTGCCTGCCGCCGTCGTGGAGAAAGGAAGCACAAGAGCTACCTAAAGAATTAAACCTTGGCCCCAAATACTTGTGATGCAGAGTTCTCGGCCGAAATAAGAGGAGCTTCCCCAAGCTTGAGTCCAACTGCAGGTAGTTTATGAGTCAAACTTTCACCGGTTCCTGGTGAGAGTTCACGATGGATTGCTAGCTAAGGCGTCTGCTAGCCGAACCGGCAGGCCGCAGGAAAGAAGTTGACACTACTTGACAACGCTAGAGGACCAGACACTGAGAGAGAGAGAGGACACTGGGGGGAAAAACCGAAGTCCGTCTGTCTCGATGGTCGTGAAATGTTGCCTGGATCGGGGCTTGCAGCTATTAAGCGCCCGCGACCACACGGACTCTTTGTTCCTGAACGAAGAAAAAGCCTCTCCCGGAGCCTCGGTTCCTGAGCGAAACTTGATTGAGAGTGATGGAACAGGGCAAATAGTGGTTTTTCTTTCCTTCCTTTACGAACTAATAGACGCAAGCACTTTAGTGTTTTAAGGTCCCGTCTGTGACAAAAGCACACGATCCTATTGTGCCTGCCGCTGCCTGCCAGAGATGGGCGCGCGTTTCTAGAAAAAAGAAGCAAACGTGCGTTTACGCCGGACTACGGGCACCATCAGTGATCACGGAGGATGGGGTTTTCTTGGACGGCATCTTGAAGGTAACGTAGAGACACACCCCCCCCAACAGGCGGACGGACAAGTGACGACGCGTTCGTGGGAAGCAAGCAAGGCACAGCATTCACCGAAAGACGGGATGCTGCAGCCTGTTCGTGTACGGATAGGTACGGATACTTCCAACTTTTCCTTTTGGTTGGTACCGGCCCTTTGGAACCCGTCACGGGGACACGTTTGATGCGACGCTGCATCTGCACGATGGATGCCAGGACGGAGGGATGGGGGAACGGTGTGGCACGGCTGGCACGGAACGGATGACTCAAAATTGGAATCTTTTCTTTTCTTTTCTTTTCTTTTCTTTTCAGGTACCTCAGCACTTTAGATACACCGTCCTGGGGTCTGAAATTCTCATTTCACCGTATTTCCTGAATGACCAATTTCTTGGTTTTCTTCTTTTCTTCTTTTTGTTTTACGAGGCGATGATACCCTGACCGGGTTCCGGCAGTCGGTGAGCGGTCGGTACCCGTCCGGTGTGCACCAACAATAGCGCAAGGTACTCCGTACTCTTTGGTCTGCTGACTGGCAGAGTGATCGACGACGTGCATTTCGTGGGGCGCGGATGACGATGCTATTCCCAGGTTGCCCACAAACGTTTTTTGTGGGGGAAGGAAGGAAATCTGCTCAGAAGTTTCGTGTAACAAGAGTGATTGGTTCCCTGCAAACTGCAGCTCACATCACGCGCATCCCCCCCGGCCAGACAACCCGCAGAACCGAGACGAGCGAACCCGAAACCCCAGCCTCGTGGTTTCTCTTGCGCGTGTGTTGGTTGGTAACAGACTGCTGGGTCCGAAGGGCGGAAAATATGGAGAGAAGAACCTAAACTCCAATTTCGATGGAACTGGATGGAGGCATTGCCAATTTACGCATCACCTTCTAGAAAATTTGCCACATGTTCCTGAATTTCCGACACTTTATAAACCCCGTAATGACCTTGCAGAGGAGAAGGGACCGGGACTTCTGAATGCGAGATCCCCTCATCCCGGTCAAAGTGGGCTTTTGTAGGTGGTTCCTGGATTTTTCTTCTCTCAAAAAGAATTTCCCACAATATTGGACTTTGACGAAAATTTGACAGCCATAGACAAGGACAGGGGACGCGGAGTCAGGAACAGGCACAGTACAAACTACAAAGTAGTAGTGTACGCGGAACGGAATTGGGGAGCACAGTTTGTTAGCGAGCCTTTCAAGAACGGAGATTTCGAATTGAGAACTCGTTGAATGAGAAAAACGGAGACGTGGCTCTTCCTCTTCTCCCCCTTCTGTGGCAAAAAGCGGCTCTTACACGTACCGTAATTACCCTCCCCAAAAATATCTGCCGTTGATGAGATGAGGGACAGCACGATGTGACAGTGATGGTCAGTGTTGGCGTCGGAGGATATTCCTCTGTCTCGGCGGAGGAAGTCCAAGCCCAAACTTGCTGCTATTCTTGTGTGTACGAAAAGTACGTAGAATGTTCCACAGTCCACTGCCATCCGTCGCAGTCACAGTCACACTCTAGGACTTTCGCACTCCGTACGCGTCTCAAACCGCGCAAGCGTCCCATGACCCAATAGAATGGCATCTTCCGGGTTCCTGGGCCGGCCGGCGCATCATAAGGGCGTGGAAAGAAGAGCACAACATCAGACGAGAAGGAAAAAGGAGGCGCTACGGCGTTGCGTTCCGTTTCGTCCGGTTTCCTGACGCCGCAGCGTCACAGTCACCAGTTTAACAATAGTAACGGGGGAAATGAGATAGAGAAAAAAAAATTCAACAAAGCGGAAGAAGAAACAGATGCTTTCTTCCAATCTGCCAAGGTTCATGCAAGGGCGCCGACCGATACAGAAAACGCGATGGAGGACTGACAAGAGAGTGTAAGAATCGCCGCAATAGGGATCGGAGAGCCGCGGCATGTGCCAGGCACGCGGTTGAAGAGGCGTTCGTCCCGGCGTTGCGGTACGCTTGAAGGGGGGAGTGAGTGGGATACTGGGATGGGGCATGGCATCCGCAAGGGCAGAATTTCCATTCGCCGGCGCGAAGGTTGTTGGCTTTTTTGAGGATTTCGGAGCTGATCACATCCGGCATTGTGGGTTGTTGATGGCGTTTTCCCTTTCGATTCCTCATAGCTACGCTGCGTGGGTAATGTGAGTGAGCACAGAGTACCTAGCTCTAATCACCGACGGCATCTCACTTGGACGATTGCTCTTGTCCCTTTCCGGCGGTAACTGTCCATGTTTGAGGACGCAGCACTTGGTTGCCGCCGGCTACCAGTGAGCGGAGGGTAGTTAGAGCGGAGGAGCTATGGCTAGGAGAATACGGAAAGGTACTCGGAATGGAATGGACAATGGCGGGAACGAATACGATTATACCAATTTTCGGACCTCTATCCGCAGTTTCGGACCGTAGTAGTAGGAGATATCTCTGATCGGGGGGGCTGGCTGGAGAAGCGCCGGCATCACGAAGCTAATGACACACGCCTTTACCAGAGCACCGGGTCTGGCTTCACGCTCCGTTCGTGGGACCGGACAACTGGTACTACTTCGTGTTAGGTGATGGGTTCTTCGTGGGATCACAGAGTGAGACATTGACGGGACTCTAGCGAAGCTTATTTCGCAATCACGACAATTGGTGTCATTCTTTTTTTCTTCTCATTCGTCAATGTGCGACGAACCACGGGAAGAATCCCATGACGCAGCCTCAACTTCCCAATGTCCCCCCCTCCGTTTATTGAGTCCCGTGTACGTGGGAACGGCACCGCCGAAATTGAACATGAGCCGCTTCTCGTCTCTGTTATAGCCAAGGGCAAGCAAACATCCGTAGTCAACTGTCAACCGTTTTGAAGCGGGAATTGGGCGGGCGGAAGCAAGCATCACGGCAATAAGTACGAACTGGGGCTGGCTGACCCAACAGAACGGATGCCCGCATCCATACAAGGCGAGCGAGAGGTGAGTTCGTTCCCAGCATCGTTCTTTGATGGGTACATGGGTAAGGGGATGGGGATGGGATTTGGAAGATGAGGCTCTAACGGTGTAAGGGTCGCAAGAGCGCAGCTGCGGACCCCTTGACTACACCACACTAAGAGACTGGGGAAAATCCCTGATCATGGATGGGAAAGTCGGTGTCGCTCTCGTCGTAGACTTCTCGCCGACGGGGATTGCACGGTTCAGAGACAGCTCATAAGGATGGAGAAATTTCCCAGCAGACTGGTTTCGGTCTGATCTTCGTCTCAAGTCATTTCGCCTTCACCGAAAGTCGGGTGGAGCAGGACTTTCAAACGGTGAGGCACTACGAGAACCCCTTTTCTCCAGTCATGAGTGGCCAGTTCCCAACTTCCCCTTACCGTAACGTGATGCCCGACAGCGATATCCCAGCCATCGTTTTCTCGCTATTGTGCTCCATCGTTTATTTTGGTGTTTGCTTGTGTGCGCGCGCCCCATAGCCCCTCATGGCTCATGCTACCCTAAAACGAAGGGGTTCGCGATGATGAGGTGAGGGTCCTTGTTCGGGAATGCTTCCATTTGTCGAGGATCCGCTCCTTCTAGACGTTTTTTTTTCTCTCCTTCTTCCTTGGTTTCGAAGAAGAAGATCCCTCTCCCTCTCTCTCCACCGCTTCTTCGTTTGCTTCCATTCCCCATAGGGTACCGGGATCCATGGGTTTGGCAAGATTGGGAAGTGCAACGTGGATTCATCATCTGGCAACCGAAAGCGGCGCCAGGTTTCCGTTTCGTGCATGTTCTTGGTTGAAAAGGGGCACGAGGCGGTAGCGGTAGTGGGGAAGGGGGGAACAATTCAGGCTTGTGAAGATTTTCACATGATTCCTTCATGATGGGAGAATGACATATTTCGCATCGTGGCACAGGAGGTGAAGAATAACCCCTCTTTTCTGCGTACGCGCTCATCTGCACGAGCATTTCACCAAGCTAGAGATGTAGGAATACCTGACGCGAACCAGGGTGCTGGATGAGGGGAGGGTGAGGCAAAGACAAGCGGTCTCCCGGGCACAAGAGATTCGGTTCCACAGAGACGGTGTCACTCAAACATCTCAGCCTTGGATGGCAGAGAAAGCAGACGATCGGATTGAAGGAAACGTCGTGACTGGAAAATGCCCGAGGTGAGGTTAACCGCTTAGACCGGGGTTGTTGCAGAAGGGGGGGGGGGGGGGAGGAGAGGATCGCCAACTCATTGTGAGTCACACTCATTGACAGAAGTTCATCAACAACACTCCCAACAACATTAACGGACAGATTTCATGCGACCCATGCTGCCATGCTGCCAGGCAGGCAAGCAAGCACACTGGCAAGACCTGACCGCCTTTGCGTGAACGTTTGCCTTGGGGCAACCCTGGTCCGCTTGGTGGGAGCGGAGACAGTCAGCCTGTCAAGGAACTTTCGGTGTCCTCGGCACGGGAAACGGAGAACAAAACCCCAAGGATGTGGGACCTCCAGTTCGTCAGCGCGACAGCGGAAAGCCAAGACTTTTGGAAGTTGGGTCGCGCCGCTGCATGTGCACTTTTTTCAATGGGGACGGACTGGGAACATTTTTTTTTTCCCCTTTCACGAGCTGTTGTTCTTTTCCTTCCATTTCGAGTGGAGAGAAGCGGGAAAGAACAAAACGGGGTTCGGGTGTGTGTGTACGAACATCATTGTATGGGTAATCTAGAAGCGAGTGAGAGTGCGAGAAGATCCTGGAGTGGGTGCCGGGTGTTTATCAAACAGAATGGGGAAACCCAAGCAAAAGACAACGTGGCCGTGGAACTTTGCAGACATGTGAGTGTCGAGTGAGCCCTGTGAGAGTGAGGGTGAGAGTCGTCGTCATGATGGGCAAGACCATCACCGCCCGTGGCACCGCCGCCGCTAGGTATGACTGGCTCGCCGTGAGGCCGAACGCGAAATCCACTCACTCGCTCAGCCAGCCAGCCAGCCAGCACCGCCAGCCCGTTTCTCGACCACAGGCTTTCCGAGTTAGAGGATAAGGCTGCATGGGAGAGGATCACCATGCAGCGTAACCATGTGTCATCACAGACTCTGCTGTTGGATGAAGTTGCTACACAGAGTGGTGGGAGTGGGAGGACATGCTGTAACTGGTTACCGCTCAATGAGTGGAAAAGGCGCCAATCAGAAGGAGACGATGCCCAAAACGGTGGCCTTAACGGAACTCGGCCGGCACGGCGGGGGGACGGGCGTTGGTAGTTGAAGTGGACGGAACTTCCAGAACATGTAGCTTTCCGCAGTTTCGCATCGCCAGCACGTATTTGGGTCCCGGCCGTAATGCGATTTCCACTCATGCAAGTGACGCTTTCTGTGTGTTGGGATGACGGGAGCACGTCAGAACCGTTTTTTTCATCCACCGTCCGTCCGCAACCACCACATATCACGACCGGGAATTCATATCAACATCAGGATAGTGGCTGGGCGTCCTCCCGCTCCGCACCCCCCATCTTTGTTTGCTTCTGTGCTGTGCTTCCATCTGGCTTCTCACTTTACGGAGCAGTGACCGTGTATGAGTGTGAGTGGGAGTGGGTTGTCGTCGAACGTCAGCAATTTGCGACGTTGTTGCTGACGGTGGCGCGGTGACACAGCATGGCAAGGCAGCAAGCGAGACAGGACACATGGGAAAGTCTGAGTCTGAGCCTCTAGATTGGGAACAAGTGTGTCAGCCTGCAGACTGACTTGAGCTGGTCTTGTCACTCTTTGTGTAACAGTAAGAATGCTGTGCAAGTTGACACGAGGTTGTAATGTCAATAAGCTTCTGACTGTGTTTAACCCGGAACCCAAGCCTTTCCCCGAAGCCTCCGTGCTTCGCCGCGCAAATGGGGTCCGGTCCTGTCCCCGGAGTTTAGGTGGGCAGACAAAGACGTAAAAATTGACAACGTCAACATGTTCTTTGGGAACCCGAGAAAAGCACACCTCGTTTTCGTTCCGAATTATTACCTGCTTACGGATTCTCGGGGAATTGGGAGGAGGAGATGGGATGAGTAAGGCCCAACCTTGCCATCGCAGAAACGGTCGATCAAGCAAACCAAACACGGACCTAAGCCTTTTTGTCTGATGTTTTTGGTATGGATATGCTTGAACGGCGCGAACGTTGGGGATTTCCGGTGCGGTATTTGACAGCCCAAGACAGCGTCATTGGTAAAAATGTGTGGTCGCTCAAGGAAAGCCACACTATAGAAATCTCACTACAGCTCGAGGACAATCTTGAGACGGTGGAACGTTGTGTCTTCAGTTTTGCCCAGATTGTAACACCTATTCGTACACCCCGATCAGTTTTCAGGTTGTTCGGTTCCGCAGTGTGGTGCGGAAACAAATAAACCCAAAGGTACGAGGCGTAACATTGGCATGCTTTCCTTGCCGACGCTTGTCTGTAGTGTCCCAACTTTTCCAAGATATGCCCAAAGGGAAAATAATACGCGGACGCGGACGCCATCACCATGGACCTGGTGCTACCGCGAGCCCGGCTCTGGGTAAGTTAATGTCATGGCACCATGGAGAAGATTTTGAGTTGTGTCTTGTGGGGGGTTTCTTAGCTGGCCGACGACAATCGCGATTATCGCAATGAGGATCCGCGACGGCAATTTCCATGAAGCTTGAACGATCAGTGCCTCTTAAGACAAGCCACCAATTCCCGGCAATTGGGATAGAACGAGGGGTAATGTGTCTTGTAGTGCCTTGTGGTGTCCTGTTCGACCACTGGCAGTTGTCAGTGTCTTTGTCCCCCATCGAGAAAACATTAACCCTTCATTTGAGTGTGGCTTTCCTCTTCCGCTTTGGCTGGTTATTTCCTCGAGCTTGTACGCATCAAGAAGGTGTTTCGTTGGCGCTAACTTTGGGGGGGGGGAAGAGACACGGGAACTGCCATCCATCCCAGCCTCAAATTTGGTCTGCTCAGGAACCAACCGTTTGCTTGAACTCAAAGTTTGAAGCTTGGGCATTGTAGTGAGGCTTGAGGCTTGAGGCTTTCGTGTGGCTGTCGAGTTTTTGAATGAGCGGTCACGTTTGTGCTACAATCCGCTCCATCTTACCGCAAGCCTCTAGGTCCTGATCACCGCGCGATGACAAGCCCCCGCGCCGCGGATCCGTAGATCTGGTAATGGGAGGCTTGCGTTAGGACGACGACTACGGCTCTCCCACGGCGCGTGGGAGAGCCGTGGGGAGAGAGAGGACGTGTGAGAGTCGAAAGAGATCGCCGTGCTAACGTTGGATGATTTTCTTCGATCTTCTTCACGAGGCGTCTACGTCTCGTTTCCTTGGCTCTCTTAGTCTCTTGCGGGAAGAAAACCGGGCAAAAAGACCTACTACGCATGGCTGTGTTTGGTATTTACGGAAATACGTGGTGCTCAACTTTTCGTGTAGTCGGGCGATTGTGGTGTGGCTAAGCCACCACCGCCAACGACTCTCTCTGTTCCATGTTACATTTGAAACTGCGACGGCAAGAATCAAACGGTGTTTACTGTACCCGAAGACTCCCCATCTCTCTGGCAGTATAGCAATATGTGCTCTTTTCGGAAACATTGCGAGGATACGGTCGACAAGGGTGCGGGGACGTTTGATTGATGCCGTCAGCATCAGCATACCGTCAGCACCTTCGGTACCAGCATTTCCTGTCTTACCTACAGATACAGCCTAGGTCTATTACTTGCCGTACTCCGTACCCAGGTAGGCGGATACGGGGTGTCCTACGTGCAGATGTGTGAACAACGTGGCCGAGCGATGCGGCAAGATGGCGGCGAAGAGGAATATCATCGATTCATCATCATTGCTTCCTCGGCGTCTTACGGCGACATGGGGAAGCGAATGCGGGCGTGTTGTGTTGTATCCAAGAGCATAGCCTGCTGCAGGCTTTTCCTCGCTTCTCTTGCCCAATTCTCTATTCGTACATGGAGTCTAGGCAGGCTGTGACCTGTTTATCCCTACTGAGAGTACAAATCTTTCTTCTTCTCGATATCTGATGGGTGGTGCTGTCTTGGGATCGCGGCCAGCTGACCTCGACTTGCATGCTTAGGCGGAACTGGGCAACTGGGGTCTGAAGGGCGCGAGCAAGGGTTGAAAGTGCTTCGAGGGTGATGATGTGCACATTACGGTGCGTCGATGCCAAGCTTGCACGTAACGTGAGACCTCTGCGGGGGGAGATCAGACAAGAGAGGCTAGGTAAGCAGCCACCAACCAATGAAAGTTCGATACGGTGGGGTCATCCAAAACGGTGTGCGAGTCCGTCACGGTCTCTGTGAAGAAAAAGGGCTGAGTGCGTTGGTACGGCAGTAAGATTGGCATCGACATCCAATAGACCGGATATGTGTCCTAGACAAGGAAAAGGGCTGATCACCAACAGGAAGAAGCAAGCGAGAGACAGGTTGCAGAGGAAGGGTCTCGATAAGAATAGCCACGGGAATACCACTCCCCGGACTTGGGTTTTCAGCTCCATCCCTTGGGACCTTGACCGAAGGAAGATATTCGGAGAGAGGAGGAATAAGCAAGGCCAGATGAAGCTGAAAGCTGATGGTTGGCAATGAGAAACCGAGACATTGATCACCACCGGTCGACCGGTGAAGATAACAGGCAGAAACAGAAACAGCGTATTGATTCAAAAAAGGAACGACAAAAACTAATGAGGAATGTTTGGTCTCATTGGGGGCCCAGGGGTCTAGGCCAAGCATTCGATCTTGGAACGCGGTGACACGGCAGAGACCAAGGAAGGAGGCTGAAGACACCAGAATCACTATTGTCCAATTGTCCTAAGACATCCTTTTTTTTGCGCCATCCATCCCACGGGGGCGGGAGATGGGCGCGCAATGTCACCGCGCTCCAGTCGATGTGTTGGACCCAAGCGATTGGGAATTTCTTGCAGTTTCTTTTTCAGGTTCAGCAAGGGGATGGGAGTTGCGCCATCACGGTCTCATTCCATGATCGACGAGAGACAAACGGCACCTTGACCTTTTGTTTGGCGTATTGTTCAAATATCATACATGATCTCCACAGTTCGGTCGGACTCGGTGTGCCGGTGACATATTGGAATTGTATCTCAAGGAGCTGAAATGACAAACAACGAACCAGACCCCTGGCCTTGTCTCGTGCGGTCAAGCCTTTTCCTTCAATTTTTACTTCGCTTCCCCGAGGCGGTCGCGCATTCCTCGCGTTCGTCGTCGGACTTTTTAGGGTTCTTGTTGATTGTTGACTTGCAGTAGTGTAACCTCATAAAAATTCCCACAAATTTCCAGGGTCCAGGGCTGTAAGAGTTGGAGAGGTAGACGGAGTTCTCACGGACGGACACGGCATAAAAGGTAAAGTAAGCATATCACGGCATAGGCATATATACAAGTTACAAAACACAGTTGGTATTACGGAGTTGGTGGTTCATCTCCGACGGGGGTGATGATGCCTCGCCCAAGACGGCATTCCGTGTTCTGCACTATAGAGTTCGGTACGCCATAGGCACACATTGTATGCAGAGCTGTCCGTGAGATCGCGATTGGATGAACAGAGAGTCAGGCATGAAGTTTGATGGCCGGCTCACGGCTCGTGAGGTGAGTCGTGATGGTTCACGGGCTCCTCGCTCAGTCAAGGAAAGAAGCTTTCCCCAGGGGTTGGTTGGGTGCGGTGAACGGGAGTAGGAAGCAGTGCTTGTAGCAGGAGCGGTAAGGCAGAACTCTCATTGCGGATGGAACGGTAGACTTGGCTTTTGGCTCATTTTGAGTTTTGTTGCTTTGGCAGGGATGGCCTCATCGGGGACCATCAAGACGCGGACGCGCGCGGGCGGCGCAAGTAACATACAGTTCGGGCAGGAGTTCATTCAGGGTTTTGGAGAACTACGGATGCGAATAGACTCATAGAGTGTGTGATACAAGTCCCACTAAGATGGATGACCCCAGATGTGAGGCTCATACTCAAAATTGTCCATTTGGCTGGCATTCACGTCAGACACCGAACCGAACTCTCTTTTGCAGAAAGTCTGGAGTCTGGAGAAGGAGAATGAG